AAAAAGAAGTATTGTTTTTCTCTCTACCTCTATCTTATATCCCTCTAATCTTTTTTTAAGACAGGGGTTCTCTGTGTAGCCCTGGCTGTCCTGTAACTAGCTCTGTAGACCAGGCTGGCCTCAAAGTCAGACTCCCCTGCCTCTGCTTCCCTAGTGATGAAATTAAAGGCATATGCAACCAACACCAGGCCCCTCTAATCTTATCAGATTCACATCCAGTTTAGGCATGTGCGGGTTAGAGGTGAACCATACTCACCCTGCATCTCTTCACACATGTGAAATATAGCTCAGGGCAAGGACGTGAGGATGAAAAGTAGGGATCTGGAGAGATCTCTGTTCCACCTATATATATGGCTCCTGTAACTCTACGTTTCTCTCTATGCAAGATAAACCTACTTTGCATTTATTAAAAATTCATTTGAAGCTGACAAGTCATCAATTATGTTTCAGAAAAATATGTAAATGGGGTTTGTGCTTCTAGAGTGAAAGCAACAGCAGAGTCAGCATGGGGTCCAGGATCTGGTGACATGGGACATATCACTAAAACAGCTGCTTGAAAAAATACTATGCTGACTTGTATCTATCATAATTTGAATTGGCTTTTTAAATGTAGTTCTGCCTGTTCTGGAACTTAGTATATATGCTAGGCTTGCTCCAAACTCATGGAGATCTACCTGCCTCTGCCTCTGGAACACTTGGACTAAGGGTGTCTGCCATCATGCTTTGCTATAATCAGAATTTACTAGTAGTGAAACTAAGGGTCAACTTAGAGTAACTGGCCCAAGTCAGCAGGAGTAATGGGATTTAATCCTAGCTGAAATCAAAGTAACCATTCTTCTTTGTGCATTGACCATGATATCAATCAAATTATTGGATCTGAAGGAAAAGGAAAGCAGACCAAGTCCAGGTTGTCCCAGTCATTTTATCTCAAGTGTAAAAGCTCGCCACAAAATACAAGTGCACTGTGATCTTACTCATATGTGATATATAAAAGGAAAAGAACAAAACTGTGATAGTTAATGTTAAGTGTCACTGTGACAGAATCTAGAATCCACGTAGGAGATGACTTGTGGGCATGACTGTGATTATCAGAATTACTTTAAAGGGAAGGGCTGACCACTGAGGGAGGGGGTCATTCCTTGAATGTGATTCTGAGCATTTAAATGGAGTAAGGAGCTGAGCACTGTGCACACATGCATACATATATTGCTCTCTCATTCCTGATTATGGGTATGATTCAAATAGTTGCTGCCTTGACTTTCCTGCCATGATTTAAAGTAAACACTTCCTGAAGTTGCTTTCGTCAGAGCATTTTATCATTGCATCACAAAAGAAACCAAGACAAAAACACAATCAAAACATAAATAAATAAAGCCCCAAACCCAAATGTAGGCTTGACACTGATAATCATTTCACTATGTATTTTTACTAAAGCATCATATTTTATATTTTAAACATTTACAACTTATAGAAAAATATAAGGCAGAAGGCCCAGAAAGCAGTTTTATCAACAAGGGTGGATGCCTTTAGACTCACTATAATATATGGTCACATGATTAAGGAAAGCTATGCAACTAGAAGCCACTGAAGCTTAAGAGATGCCTGCCTCAAATTCTGGGAACCTATTGAGAGAATTTCCCTTGATTGTTATCTTCCTGTTATTTCCACTTCCTTCTGGACATATTGCAAGGAGTCTAAGATCTAGGGTGTCTCCTTAACAAGACCAGCCTCTGAAGGAGTCAGCAGCTATGCCTGAGGTTTCAGAGGAGTCTGCTACTCAGTCATGTATTCACATCCAGTTTAGGCATGCGCGGGTTAGAGGTGAACCATACTCACCCTGCATCTCTTCACACATGTGAAATATAGCTCAGGGCAAGGACGTGAGGATGAAAAGTAGGGATCTGGAGAGATCTCTGTTCCACCTATATATATGGCTCTAGAGGAACTAATGGATTATTAATGAGACCTGAACCTTTAAAAGCACACAGGAACAAACAAAGATTTAATTAGGAAAAAGCTATTTAAAGTAGCTTAAAACAGTGCATGTTTATTAAAACTGGAATGTTTTCAGAGTTACTTTAGAGGCTGCACAGTATATTTGTTTGTTTCCATTGGCATCTACTGATCATGGAGAGAGCATCTACTTTACCCAACCTTACCATGTAGTTCTGATCTAGATTAGCATTTACTTATTCAGCAAACATTTATTGTATACCTACCATGTGCTAAGAGGTACTTTTATTCTGGTACACTCAATGCTCTGGGGATGTCCTTCCCCCTCTTTATTCCTTTTCCTCTTAGTCTATTTCACTTTCTCTCTCTTTACCCCTTTTCTGTTTTACTTCCTGGTATCATAAAATATTCAAACCTAGTTTTACTGGGCCCAGCAACCAGAAGTATTGATGGTAACAGCTGGGATTATCCCTAAGACTAAGGAGTTTTCAGAGGCAAAGTGATTTCAAGAGGTTCTTAAGGAAACAATAGGACTTATATAATATATGGAATAATTTTATAAGCATGGCTGCTTCCAGCATTTTGCCATATCATTATGAGTTATGATTGAGGTATGATTGAACTTCATGGACCTGGACCAAAAGATTAGTGCAGCAGTAGCATCTATCATATGACTATAGGGCTGGAATAAGTATCATGGTCAGACTACACAAGTCCTTCTTTTACTTTGGACAATAATGCTTGTGTGTGTGTGTGTGTGTGACACTCTCCCTAGGATATTTTTCCCATTCCCAGCATCCAGGCAAGTTTCTTGAGTACATATCTTGAGATTACCTCTAAGATTTCTCAGAACACTATGAAAAAGAAGGTGACATGCATTCCCTAACCAATCAGATGTTATCTATCACTTGAAATATTGCTAAATGAAAACTGTACTTAACGGGAAAGGAAACATGTCTAGAACTGTAATAACAATAATGTTTCTATCTCTTTCATGTTGGATAAGGAGTCATTCAAAGCTATGTTTCCAAACAGGATCCATCTTGGATCATCATAACTGACCTCATGCTCTAGAGAGACCCTCTCCTCATATTTTCTAATGGCGATAGAAGGGAAAAGTTTAGGGTATCGGAGTGGGTATCAAACTCAAGAATATAGAACTTATTGTATAAAGACTAATCAATGAAATATTCCAGCACAAGTACAATTCATAAAGGATTTAATAAACAGCTGCTAAACAATGAACCAAAGCATTTGGAAACACAATTTCTACAGAGAGGCAAAGGTCAGGCTTCCATTCTAAATTTCTTAAGACAATCATTAATAGCCCCCCATCCCACCCCATCCCTACACATCCACAAGACTACACTCTTCTAGTCACAAGTTTACCTACAGACACAGTCTTAAGAATAATGGGACTGGCATGCATTATCCCAGCAATGGCAAGGAAGCAGGGGATATGGGAAAGGTGGATGGAAAGGCAACCAGCAGCTAATGATATACCCTCAAGAGCTTTATTAAAGTGGTGGCAGAGAAGCTACTTGTGGCTTTACCTTGGACATTCTGGGTATGATGGGCAAGGTGAGCCATTCAGATAAAGTAGCTAGGATATTGTATTAAACAGTCACATTCCTTTGAGTCATTACTACTAGAAGAAGTGACCTTCTTGGGTAATGCATTGTTACCTTTCTAAAGACCTTTAGAGTGTCAAACTGTCTTCATAACCCAGAAGGCCTAATGTGGCTATGCTCAATCTAAGGTAAGAATGATCCTGACTTCTGAGTTATTCCTTCATTTTTGCCTTTGGAAATGGGTGTAGGATATTTCTTTTTTTAAAGATATTCATAAGAAATTCAGGCAAATTATTCAAACTCCTGGGGACTACCTTATAAAAATTGTGTATTTATGTCTGTTCTTTTTGCTTACATTTAAGAACAAAAGGGCCTCTAATACATTATAAAATTGGTAATAAAGTTAATGATTTAACAGACTCAAAAATATATTTGTATGAATCTGCAATTCACCCCTCATTACAATTGCATCCAAAACAGGTGAGAAGTCCTTGACATAATGGAAGCAAAATTACTGGCCCTGAAAGAGGAGTGTGATATGTACAATGAGTAAGGAAAACTTTTGACTTTCCCTTGTTTATGGCCCTTTCTTTTGAGGCAGCCTTCAACTACTACCAACCATCTTATTCTTCTACTATTTGATTGGTAGTCTTGGCAGGGAGGTAAGTTTCTTAGATTAGCCATCTTTGAACAATTCATATAAGCATTTGATCTAGATCATTTTGTGTGTATGTGTACCATTTTAATTTAACTTAAAGGACTCTTCATTTTTTTCCCAGAAGAGTTTGTAGGCAACCATGAATCCACAGTAAGCAATACTGAACTTGCTCAAAGGGGCTCATTGTTATTGAAGGATACATATTTTGAGGTGCTGAAACTAGAGTAGCACCTACTCTTTTATGCTGAAATGACCCGACTAGTTCTCTCTCTCTCTCTCTCTCTCTCTCTCTCTCTCTCTCTCTCTCCATACATGTTTGACAGAGGCGAGCTTCAAATGACCCCATTGATCTACATGGCAAGAACCTATTTAGGACTCACTTCAGAAGTTTGCACAGGTTTCTTCTCATTCTACCAGTTCATACATCTAGTAGGCCCTGATGGGGGCATAGAAGGGGCCAGATGGATAAAATTTTATGAAACAGCTAGACCTAACTCCATAGTGAGTCAGAATCATCCAGTGAAGCCCAGTTAATATGCTCCTGAATCTCAACACCCTGGACCTCACACAGCCAAGATTTCCACTAGAAGTAGAATCTCCTGTTCATTCCTCAGTGGGCAGAGTGAAATTGAACACATGCAGTGCCCTCAACTGGGCATACTAAGATGATCAACTGAACAAATAGCAGTGTCTGGCTCAATCCAAGCAATGTTCAAGGGACAAGTCATTTTTCTGCTGTTACATTTTCATTGAGGCTCATAAATATGAATTTAGAAAGTGATTACACTCAGCCTGGGACAGAGTTAAAAAGAAGAATCATGAAACACATGAAGATGAAGGGAGCCCTGGGTTTTGGGTGTTTGGATGCTTCATGGGGTATACAGTGCTCTGGTTGCTGTGCCACCACTATAATCTATTGTTTGCGGATCATGCCCTTGATAGCCGATTCCCGGTTCACATATGTGGCCCAATAGACAAGATTGAATATGGCAAAGAGCACAGGAAAGATGATGCGGGAGATTTTGTCAACCTTGCTGACACTGTTGTAGGTCTTGGTCTCAGCAGGGGTGTCCTGCACATAAGTGGCCTTGGGTGAAGCAATGACTGTTGGAGTTGAAGAAGCACTGGGAGTGGCACCCTTGGAGATGGTGGAGAACTCAGCATCCTTGGCCAGGTTCATAGGATAGGTGGTTCCCACAATGTTGAAAGTGGTGCTTGTTTTCTTTGTTGGGGCTGCTGGTGTTTTCCTCTAAATCCAGAAAAAAAAGAGGGGAAGGGAGAGAACAAAACATATAAAAGATGATGAATTCATTGCACGAAGTACCTTTGGAGACTGCAGGGAGGAAGAGCCATGAGGGATATTAAAGAACCTACTAAGTGGTATGTTTATACATAGGGACAGTATTTTGCAAACAGAAGACTTGCATGCACCATTTTAACTATCCTAGTAACCATGACACAGCCTTAAGTCACCTGAGAATGGACTTGCAATGGAGGGACTGCCCATATCAGGGTTGGTTACTTGGGCATATATGTGGGGGACGTGTCTTAATTGTTCATTGATGTAGATGGGTCTAGATCACTCTGGGTATCACTAATCATTAGGCAAGTGGTACTAGACCATATAAGAAAGCTATCAGATCATCCAGCAAGCATCATTCCTACATAGTTTCTGCTTTAAGTTCTTGCTAGTGTCCCTGTCCAAGCTTCTCTCAATGATGGATCTGGAAGTGTAAACCAAATGAAGACTTTCCTATATCAGTTGTTTTTCATCAGTGTTTTATCACAGCAACAGAAAGAAAATAGAAAATTCTAGCTATGTGTTTTTGGATAAATCACTCCTCCGTTGTGAGTTTCAGTTTCTTCATTTGTAAACTAAAGATGAAAATAGCTGGCAGATTGTTGAGAGGGTCAAAGGGGAGAATGGCAGTGGAAATTGCTAGGAGATGTGAGTTTTTATAGATTACATTTTGTCCATCACCCTATGAAGTAGATGACATTATTCACATTTAATAAGTCAGCCTCAAATTAAATGGCAGAATACATACTACCAATCAGAATTCCTGATTTATGTCCATAGACACACTGTGCCACTTTCTATAGCACAAGGTATTTTTTGTTACCCGAGGAAAAAACTTCAAAAAGGCTGCAGCCATCAAGGGGCACACCTCCTGTGAAGAAGAGAGCTTGGTGAATCTGCAAAGTCATTCTGTCTTAAAGAGCATAATAAATACTACATGCATCATCACAACAGCATGCTGTCTTCATGCACTATAAAGGTGTTTAGCAAAGTAGGAGGTATACAAAGGTTTTCCACTCTTGCTAAGCTGCTAGCAGGAGCCATAGCCTCCCCACAGAGCTGAAGAAATGACCTCTTCTGATACAGCATAAGTAAAAACAGCAGGAAGCTGGCTATGACATTGCCCTTCGGGAGCTTTTTTCCCAACATAACTATCCTCAAAACACAGAAATAAATGTGCTCTACCCCATCCTACCCCCAGCCTGTATTCACATAAATGTGTTCATGTATATGTGGTGTTGCCATGCTTAGATCTGGATTGGAACAGAGAGGCTGCATGGCATGATGACTAAAGCAGCAAGCTAGCTCCTAACCGCAGCCTGAGGCAGTGGCCTAGTTTAGTATGTAAAACTCATCCCATGTCGTCCCTCCACATATCTCAATCCCTCTCTTGATGCTTCTCAGATGCTGGAATTAACTCCTGTACTCTTCCAGTTCCTAACTTGTTTCCTTATTTTCTCTGTTCCTTTTGTTGCTCCTTTCTCCTCCTCTCCCCTTTCTTACTTCCTCAGAATTCCCATTGCTTCTTATTTTTGTCATTCAATCATAGTACTATTTACTTTCCTGATCCAAATAATCATTCTTGTATATTTATTGAATATCAACAGTGCCAAAACCTATGCTAGACATTTAGGGTTAATAGAAAGTCTAGAAATAACACTGCAGTCCCTTTCTCCTAAGTGTTTGCAGCCTATTGTTGAAGAAGGCCCTATAAACACATGATTGACATAATGTATAACGTAGGTCCTAATTGTTTTGAGTTAACTGTTATGAGTTTACCTTCACATGTGGGAAAGGCAGCTCAAAGAAGGCTGTGAGATTTCCAGTCTGAGCATTAAAACTTGAACAGGAACAAAATAATCCAATTTAAAAATGGTCTTTGTGGAGCTTCTAACAGTATGTGCAGGGGTGTCTCTGACTCTTTTGCTGGCTTTGGGAATCTACTACTTGTATTGGGTCACCTTGCCCAGCCTTAATACATGGGGAGTATTAGTCTTACTGCAACTTGAAATGCCATGCCATTTTATACCTATGGGAGGCCTGCTCTTTCCTGAACAGAATGGGAAGAGGAATATATTGGGAGAGGGGTGGGAAAATGGGGGTTAGGAGGTACTGGGATGAGAGGAGGAAGGTGAAACTAGCCAGAATGTAAAATAAATTTTTGAAAAAAATGAGCAGGAGTCACCAAATGATAATGCAGCAAAGGCCAGTGCATAGGAGTTTGCTGTGGCTGAATCATAGTGAGCACAGAAAACAAGTTGTAAGAACTGAAGGAAAGGCCAGATCTTTGGGCCATCCCCTGTGACTGGGTGGGTAACCACCCTGTTGTGAGAAGAGAGCCTTCATCCAGTGACTGGTGAGGCAGCTCGGGAACCATGGCCGAACACTGGGCCCAGGAGAACCCTGCTGAGGAAAGGGAGGAGGGATTGTAGGATATGGGGGGCGGGGCAGGGACATCAGATGAAAACTAACACAAATAAGTAGCCAGTCTCATGGAAACCTGTTCCCTATGCTGGATTGCCTTGCCCAGCTTCAATATAAGCGGATGTACTTGATACGCCATCCTTTGCTGATGACCATGGGAGACCTGACACTTTCTGAGCAAATAAAGAGGTGGTGTGGGTTAGGAGGGGCAGAAGAATGGTAGAGGGAGAGAGTGGGAGGATAAGAAGGTGGAGAAACTATGGTCCAGGTGGAACATAAACAAATTAATTAATTAATATAAAGGAAAAGGTCAAATCTTGAAAGACCCTGTATATCACACTGTGACCACCTATGTTGACATCAGCATTCTCAGTCGGGGACAGGGAGTGCTGGAGATGAGGGGTGGAAAGTATGCAAGATAAGGGGGTGTTCATGTAAGTAAATAAACAGCTGACTAATAAGACATTTCAAAAGCAGTACTTTACTTCTTTGTTGGAGGATTGTAGTCTCATTGTTACAAGCAGAAGGAGTACAGAACTCAAAGCCTTCTAAGAACCTTATAAATACTTTAAATACTACATGGCTTATTTATAATTAGCAAAGTCATTGTGTGAATAGAGTCCTGCTGTTAAATGCCTTTGCTATTAAGCAAAACACTGCTTTACTTGTTTGCCTGCTCATTAATTTGCTTAGTAGTTTTCTTCCATGGGTAGGCAAAATAAAAGCAAAACAAAAAAGGAAAAAGAAATTGAAGAAAACTTTACACTGACTTTGCTAAAAGCTTTTGCATGTCATTTCATTTAGTCATCTTATAAGCTGGTTATGTCTAGGTCTTTGAAACAGTCACTTGGGACAACAAGCACTTTCTTTGTCTTCACAGGCACTTCATGTTCTTTAGGTGAAGAGAAGCAGCAGGTGATTCAATTAACTTTTAGTTTCTCTCATCATTTCCAACATGACATATTTTAAACAATACTACATTTGTACCTGCACTGTAAAAAAAAAAAAAAAAAAAAAAAAAAGGAAATGAAACTGAACATTACAGCATAAAGCAGGATGCGGAGACATTGTCCTTTAATGAGTAGAGAAATTTAAGTTTTGGGGATGAAAAGTATTCTGGGGATTAACTGTAAGTTTGCTTAACATTGAATTGCATATTGGACTGCTTAAAAATACATGGGTTGGAGGAAGATAAGAAAGTATGAGGGTGAGAATGATCAGAATGTATTGTATACATGCATGAAGTTATTAGAAAACAAATGTAATTAACAAAAAGAAAAAATAACAAATTGTACAATAGTTATATTTTGTATATTTGTATGTGATAGTTTTAATTGTCAACATAGCACAATCTGGAATGGCTTGGGAAGACAATCTCAATGAGAGATTTTTTTATATCAGGTTATTCCATGGGTAATCTATGAGCTATTTTCTTGAATGTGTTAATTGATATGGGTATACCTACCCTAAAAGTGTGTGGCATCATTCACTAGACTTGGGTCCTAAATTGTTTTATGAACTGAGCAGTAGGCATGCATGCATTCATTTTTTTCTGTTCTTGACTGTGGATGTAATGTGAGTAAGATTTTGTCCCTTTACTGTCCTCCAGTGCTGGGCTGTAACCTGAAATTGTGAACTAACTAGGACATACATCTACATTTATTTAAAATAATAAAATGAATCATATTGCTCTAATTCAGACTATCTAATTTTAACTGCATATACTATGTTGCTTATGATAGTTATTTTACATAACACATTTGTATATGCAAAAATCATATAATGAATTGGCCATGTCCTCAGAAAAATCACAGATAGAACTTAGATTAATTATAACAAAAGACACTTTGTGGATTGGGAAATAGTTCAGTGAGCCCAGAGTTAACCTTGCTAACACCCAAGTCCCTGGGGATTGCTGGCCATACAGTCTCATTTAATTGGTAATGTCGAGGGTCAGTGAGAGACACTGTCTAAAAAAATGAAGAATGATAGAGGAATGCAGATCGACTTAGAGGGATTAGTTAAGCCTATAGAAGGGGAAGACATGCAGATGGAAAGTCAGCTTCCTAAAATGATGGGGAATTACCCAGGTTCAAGTTGCAGCTTAGAAGGAAAGAATGGAAGAGATTCAGATACTATCAGTGCTTTGAGGGCAAGAAAGAAATAAGAAATTGAGGTAAACTTCATATATGATGGTTTTCCATACTCCCAGTAAAAACAAAACAACAACAACAAAACAGTTAAAATTTAAATTAAGAGGGTAATGATATGGCTCAGTGGATAAGAAGGATAACTATGCTTGCAAAAGAACCAAGTTCAGTTCCCAGTGCTCAAAGCAAGCAGTTAGTTCACAACTGCCTGTAACTCCAGCTCCAAGGGAACCAACACCCTATGCTGCACAGGCCTCCACCAGCACATGCACACACACACACACACACACACACACACAAGATATTTAAATTTGATTTCATAAGAGCAAATTTTAATATTCTAGCAGAGAAGGCCTCAGATACTGAAGGATCAGA